TAGGGCTGGGGAACCAAGGCTGCCATGAGAAGAAATAACTGAGGCCAGGATGGGAGGGGCCAGAGGAAAGTGGTCCAGAGCGGGGAGCCTTGGGTGTGTAAAGGGTGCATAATGGGAAGGAACATCGCATATTTGGGGACCTGGAAGCTGACTGGGGGGCTAAAGGCAGAGAGGGAGAGGGGAGACAGCAAGGAGGGAGATGGAGGAGAGAGCAGGGCCGGACCACCCAGGGCCCGGTAGGCCACATGAAGGCATCAAGAAATCACTGAAAGCTTCCAAGCAGGGGTGGGATGGTGGTGGATAGGATTGCATCTGAGCTTTGAAAACCTCAGAGGGCAGACCTATGGGGAGAGAGCAATGGGGAGAGGGCCCAGGTGGAGGAAGGGAACCAGTTCAATTCTTTCTGAAGTTCAGGCAAGAGATGACAGCCAGCACTTGGACTAGCCTGGAAATAACCATTTGGGAATCACCAGCACAAGGACAGCCGTTGAAGCCAGGGGCGTGGATGCAGCTGAAATTGCCCATGAAAGAGAGTCTGGAAGGATAAGAGGGAAGCAGACAATTTCCAACTGCAGCTTTTGTAGCCTAGTAACGTGAGGCAGCCAAGGAGAGGGAGACGTGACCAAAGAGCTAGGAGAAAAGCTGGGAGAGGATGGTGAGATGGAAGGGGCCAGAGGGTGAAGTCTGGCCAAGAGGTCAGGTGAGATCAAGTAGACGGGTGTCCTTCGGAGTCACCATCAGGGAGGTCATCAGTGACCTCCCTGAGAAGCACCAGGATGGCAGACCTTAAGCCAGATGGGATTCCTGCCGCATGTGGCCATTTTCATGGGACTAAGTGCCAACAACAGCTAATGTCCATGTCATCAGGATAACATGATATTGTCTAGTGTGATCTGGATCAAAAAGGATCAGCTCATTTGTTCAGAAAATCTCATCTGAACCCATGAAATGCACAGCATTGCTCTTTTCCGGTGACCACATAGTCCTGTTGACTTCATATACTTGTTTGCTTATACAACATGTAACACTGGCCAACTCATCTTCCGGAGTCTGGACTATAAGCAATCTGCCAGCCTGTACTTTGCCTTGATGGAAGCTCCCAACAAGTGGACATATGTGGGTTTTGCATACAGAGTAAAGACACATTTGGTAAATCGCCTTAGACGCGTCCCTGGGGAAGGTGCTACAGGCTCCGTCGCCCCTACAGATGGAAGCTGGCAAGGAAAAGACAGATCCAGATTGGGATCCCTGGGCCACGTGTGAAAACAGATTGGAGGGGGTCGGAGTGGATGTGGGGGGCCTGGGAGGGGGTGGGTGGTTCTGAAATGCTGCACAGACCCATACCCAGCGGTAGGACAAAGGACGGGAGGAAGGACCACGCGAAGCACTGACTCAGAGCACACGTCTGGCTCTTCCATCTTCCAGGTCAGCCTGCAGGTGCATGTTTTTGTTCAGAACTGGAGAATATCACCCAGGCATTTCTTTTACCAGCTCCCCACTTTCCTAGGAACCAAACTGGGTCCCTTCCACCCTACCCTCCAAACATCTCCTTCTTGGTCAACATTCCCATAATCACTACCTGTTCCAAATCTGGGGCCATGCATTTGGTCTCTATTACCTCGGTCAGTTTTAAGTGAAATCAACCCCGAATATTCACTGGAAGAACTGATGCTGAAGCTGAAGCTCCAATACTTCAGCCATCTGATGCGAAGAGCCGACTTATTGGAAAAGACTCTGATGCTGGGAAAGATTAAGGGCAGGAGGAGAAGGGGGAGCAGCAGAGGATGAGATGGTCAAATAGCATCACTGACTCAATGGACATGAATTTGAGCAAACTCGGTGAGACAATAGAGGAAAGCAGAGCCTGGCGTGCTGCAGTCCTTGGGGTTGCAAAGAGTTGGACACGACTGAGCAAGTGAAAAACAACATCTCACTGAATCTTTGCAAGAATCCCTTGCAATAAGCCCTAGCCCTATCCTGGTTGTGCAGAAACTGAGCTGAGAGGGATGTAATAGCCTATCCTTGCTCACACAACTGGCAAATGGCTCAGCCTGGATGTGAATCCTCTCTCTCTGACCCCCAAAGTCACAATAGCTCCAAGGATGCTCCATGAAGACCAAGCAGTCAATCTATATATTGGGATTGCTTTCCTTCTGAGAGTTTAGCATGACCTCTTTTATTTCTGAGTATCTGGATCCACTTACCCCTGGTAACATTCAAGAGATGTTTCTGGGCCTGGGTGGGAGGGCTGCAGTGGTTGCTTAGACAGGAATAATAACCCTGAGGGGTTCACAGTCAGCTGAAGGAGACGGATTCATACACGGGAGCAACAATCTATAATGTGATTAACAAGGATAGTGCAGGGCATGGGGGGGTGGTGCATGCATGGCATGGGAACCCTCTGCCTGGGAGTCCTGAAATGCCCAGAACTGGATTGTAATAGGAGAAACAGACCTTGTCCCAGCAGAGATGGGGGAGGACTGGGCATTCCAGGAACAGTGAACAGTTTATGAAGGCATGTCAGAGGTTGGGGATTTGGGAGACCTGATTGCATGGTGATGCTTGAGTGAAGGAGTCTCAGCTGGCTGGAACTAGGGTGTGAAGGGCCCCAGTGGAGACTGGGGGGTAGGCTCTTCATGTTCTTAAGCTTTACTGAGCATGTCACCATGAGTTAGGCTTTGTGTTGAGCACTCACAGACATGATGACCACGTCGCTTAAATAAGGAAACTGAAGTTCAGAGCCGGAGTGGATTTTATATTTTATATCATCATGCTTGCTCCGTATCTTTGAAAATGTTCTGAAAAGTCAAGGAAACACATGTTCCTCTTCACTCAGATCAAGAAATAAAATCTTACCATTCGAGGTGATGGCTTTTCCCGTCATCCTTCTCATCTCCCTCGTCCCCAAGAGGTAAACACTTCCTGAATGGTTTTTGTGTCATTCATCTGAATTTCCTTATACTTTTAGCACATGTATGCATTCCTACCAACAGAGAGTATCATTTTGTTTTTAATGTTTTAGAACTCTGTGTGAATGAATTACACAACTTGCTCTTCTGCAGCTTGCTTCCTATTCCACCACTTATGATGATTCATAAAGGAATTTTTAGTCATTTTCACTGCAGAGTAGACTTTCACTACCCTGTCTATAATTTGTTTAAGCATTTTGTCCACTGATGAGGCTGTTTTAGATTCCTTACTAGGATAATGCAGTTGCAGTGAGCAAGTTCTCCAGATTTATCCCAGAAGCCAAGTCTCTGGGTCACTGGTGTCTGAGCATCATTTCTAGATATTGTCAAATTGTCCTCCAGAGAGGTGGTACCCATTCCCCTCTACCAGTAGTGTATCAGAGTTGTCTGTGCTGTACAATATCTTCATCAACACTTTCTGCCGTCCTCCCCTTCTCTTTTTGCCAGTCTCACCAGTACGAAATGGCACTTCCTGTGGTTCTGTTTTGCATTTCCTTGACTGAGTGAGGCTGAATCTCTTTTGGTATTAGACATTAATGTTTCCCCTTCTTAGAATTACCTGTTTATGTTTTTGGTTCAGTTTTCTCTTGTCTCTTTTGAAAATCGACTTGTAGATCTCTAGTTATCATGTTTCACATGTCTTCTTTTGATAAACAGAAATTATGCTCTTTAATTAAATGTATCTTTTTCTTGATAGCTTGTGCTTTTTGAATCTTTAAGAAATCTTTCCCTACTAAAACGTTTTTGCATTTAAGTTTTTAATCCACCTGGAATTGATCTTGCTTTATGCATGGTGTGAGGTAGGGATTCCATCTAATTTTCTTCCAACATGGATGTCCAATCGCTCCATAAAAAAAATGTTTATAGAAAAGTCCACCTTTTCCAAGTGGCTTGGGTACCACTCTGCCACAGATGAAGTTCCATACACGTGTCTGTGTTTGCAGCCTCTGTTCTAGCCATTGGCCTATTTATCTATCCCTGGGCTAATATCATATGGTCTAGTTGTACCTTTTTAGACCCTTAGCACCTCCTTGAATCCAAAGAGCTAGTAGCTTCCCTGGAGCAGATCCGTTTCTTATTCATCCTTATGTCTCTCTCATCATTCATTACATAAACATCCATATCATGCTTTTGTTGGCAAAGGCCTTCTCACACTCAATCTCTTGGGCTCCCCTTATGCAGAAGAGGAAACCGAAGTACAGATGTGAAGTTCTGCCAAGGTCACACAGCCAGAAGGTGTTCTTATAGGACTGCGGAGTCGCCCTGTCCATCCATCCATCCCATTTTGCCCAGGCTCTGAAGACCTCTGCCTGATCCTCCAGCTCAGCTCATCTGGGGCAGGATTTTCACTTTCCTTCCTCTCAGCAAGTCGATCCTGAGTGGTGTGTGTGTCTGTGTGTGTGTGTGTGTGTGTGTGTGTGTGCGCGCGCCCCCGCGAAATCCCACTTCCGGGAGGCTCTTCCCAGTACTGGAGACCAGTAGGGAGAGTGAGACCTAGGGTGGGCATTTTCTGGGAAGTCTGAGGCCTGGAGTCTGCAGGAAGGAAGACCGGCGGGGTTTCGGAGTCGATCTAGTAGAGAGCCCTGTCCCTGGGCGTGCCCTTGGGACCGGGAGCCGCCTTCGGAGAGGACGCTGGCTTCTCCCAGGAATTAGAAGCTTCCTCCCGCCCTCCCGCCTCCCGAGGCAGGAATGCGAAGGATCAGCTTTCAGCCGAGCCGCGGCTGCCGTTCCGGGGAGCTCCCGGTGCAGGCCTTTCCTGAGCTGTCGAATTAACTGGTTCTGTCTGTCCAACTGGGAGAGCAGCTCTTGCTAAAAGTAGCGCCCTGCCCAGCGCGACCTGCTCTCGCCGGCAGCCCGGCCGCGACAGTCCCAGGAGCCCGGGGAGCCCCGCACCAGGAGTCCCCACCCTGGGGCCTGGCCCAGGTCCCACCCCCGAAGCCGAGGCCGAGGCCCCGGGGCACAGCGCTGTCCCTACAGGTGCCGCGGAGGGTGGAAGGCCCGCGGGCCGAGGAGCTGCCGAAGCCGTCCGGGATGGGAGCCGGCGGCGCGGCCTCCCACTCGCTCGCCTGGGCCTCCCTGCCGCTGCTGGGGCCTCCCGCCGGCGCCCTCTGCGAGGACACGCTTTGCTGCCGAGGTAAGACCGGGCCGGCTGCCCCGGCGCGCCTCTCGCTCTTCCCAGGCACTTGTTGGAGCCTCTTTCTCTTTCCCTATCTGGATCCGCGGCGGGGGAAGAGGGGCTGGGGGTGGGGGGACTGCCAAAACAGGCGTGGGAACCCGAGCAGAGCTTGGGGAGAAGAATCAGGCGCCCTCTGCAAACTCACCTTTGATTTGAAAAAAGTCGCAGTCGCGCCACCACGTTCGAAAAGCTCTTCCCTCCCTTTGGCCTCAGTCTTCCTATCTGGAAAATGGGACAATAAAACCGTCCCGCTTTAAATTTGACTGTGACCCCGAGAGAAGTTGGGGAACCTGTTGAAACGAATCGCAAGCACATTCTGGAGATGTTTGCCCCAACTCTGCTGTGATTCAGAATTTGTTGGTGGGAGGGCTGGACGTCCCTTCCCTGTGACACAACGCCCTCCGCCCCCACCCCCCCACCGACCCCACCCCGCCTCTCCTGGACCTCTGGACCTAGCATCAGTCCACGGCCACTGCGGGTGGAGAGCGAAGGGAGGCGCACAGCAGAGTTTAAGGGGTCAACCGAGGCGCGAAGATCCTTGCGGGAAAGGAGGGTGAAGAGTAAAAGAGGGGTGGGTCGCAGCCCACTCCTCAGTCTGGTATTCGCATGGTGCTCGGGCTAAAGCTGGGATAAATTGCGGTGAACACCGGCCACACAGAGGGCCTCCGCAGGCTAGCCTGAGCCCCGGGAGGGGAGTAGGGGGTGTGGCCAGACCCAGATCGCGGGTGCAAGGTGGTGTGGGATGGGAGGGGGCGTGTGGCCCGGCCTCGATCCCGGGCCAAAGTGGGCACTTGGGGCTTGTGCGGAGAGTGGAGGGGATCGGCCCTGCCCAGTCCGGCCGGGGGCGGGTGGTAGTAGCGGGGTCGATTAGCCAAACAGGTGCGCCCCCGCCCCTCCCCTCCCCGCCTCCTCTGGGTCCAGGCCTGGCGGGCGGAGCTGCGGGTGGCGGGGCCTGCGATTGGCGGGGCTGGGCCGGCCGAGTGGCCGGGGGAGCCCGGGAGTCAGAGCACCGCGGTGCAGGCGGAGGCGCGGGGCCGGCCGGAGCGCGCTACCGCGGGGCCCGCCGCTTGCCTGGCCGGCTCCGCTCCTCTCGGCCTGGCGGACGCTACGGAAACTTTACTGGGCTCCGAGACCCCGCGACCTCGCCACCTCGCGACTCCACTCTGCGCTGCTCGGGCTCCGGTGCCTTTGGGATGGCGGAGCCCAGAGCCCAGGCCGGCGAGTAGAGGTAAGAGCTAGGCACCCCCGAGTCGGTATGAGGGGGGTTTCCGGGGGCCTAGAGGGATCGGGGCTTGGAAGGGATCCGGGGACCCTGATAGGAGGTGTGGTGGTGCCTGACTGAGGAGTGGGCTGCGGCTTTGCTTTTCCTATCCCTCTTCTACGCTACAGCCCCCTATGCCGCGAGGACATTTGCGTGGTGCAAAGGTCTTTATAAACTTTTCGTGCGCCTGGCTAGACCGCCGGGTCCCTGGGAGAGTACGGCGCGGTGTTAACAAGGGGTGTTGCAAGGAAAGCACCCCAGCTGGCGGGGGTTGACTGGCGGGTTTCTGCAGCCTCCAAACCCCAACGCTTCCAAGTGGTCGCCCCAAACCTCTGCCCTTCAGTTCCCCTCTGGAGGCTGATGACTGGGCAGGCTCTTCTCTCTGCCCAGGGCCAGGCATCCCGGGGCACCCAAGTTTGGGGTGTTGTTTTGTTCAACCAGTAGCCACTCCTCAGTTTTCGGGGGGGGGCAGAGTTATAGAAGTAAGATTTCTTTTCTGTTTCCTGGGCTGCCCTGGAACACCACCCTCCAGAAAACATCTTGAGCAAGCAGAATGGGAACAGGGACCAAAGCCATCTAGGATCCAGTCCCCAGCCTGGTGGGAATCACTGTGGGCTTTTCTGGTTTCTGAATGGTCCGTTCTCTCCAGGTGTCACGCTGTCTGGCTTGAGTCATATGGATACTGAGCTTCTCCTCTCTTGCCCTCTTCTTCTGTGTAAGGGAGAAATTAATTTTGATTTGAATTTAATTTTGACTGAGGGTGACTAGGTAGGTCGCTTGTCATCTCTGAGGGTCATCCTTTTTAATGATCATCATTATTGCTTTCCAATGTCAAAGCCAAATGCCTTTCTATTTTCTTGACCTGAGATGGTCCACTTGAGTGTTAAAAAAACATACCAAACACAAGCTTTGGAGCCCAGAGAACCTGGGTTCAGACCCCAGCCTGGCCATTCATTCACTGTATGTCTTTGGGCCGGCTTCCTAACCTCTCTGAGCTCAAAGTTTCCACTCCTGGAGGGTGTGGTGAGGCTTTTGTGAGGTTAGGCATGGAAGGCATCTGACTTAAAGGACAAGAGCTTTGGATTGCCAGTCTGCGTCCTGGAACTTGGGCCTTCTTGCTGCCAGAGTGACCCAGATCCTTTGTGACTCAGTTTCCTCTTCTCTCAAAAGTCAGTGTGGACTGCTTTCTCAGACGCTCTTAGCTAGTCCTTTTGAGAAAAGTACACAGATGCGTATACCACCCCCCCAAAGCATATGATTTCAGTGGGTTTGTAGGCCTCAGATTTAAGACAGCCCCATCCATCCCCATCCTTGTCATGAATTATTTGGAAGATATAAGGCCTTCTGCCTGCCACGATCTCCTCCCACCCCTGTTGAATGCTTGGTAGCGGCTGTAAATATCAGGGAAGCAAATGCACTAATTAACCAGCACATGGGGAGAGGGGTTGACGTGCAGAATCTGGCCAAAGTCACCTTCAAGATCATCCACCCGCTCCATCGCCATTCTGCTTTCTCCAAGCTGCATCTCCACCTGGTGAGCATCTAGTCTTTTTTGCTGAACTCCTTGAGTGGTGGCCCACCAGGCAGCTGGTTTCATGATTGGGCAACTCCAGTCTGTTCAGAAATTCTTCCTGTTTGGAGTAGAAGTCTGTGTCCCTGTTACTTCTACCCACTGGTTCTAGTACAAGCCTTCAGGCATCTCTTATTGGCTCAATTATTCACTGTGGTCCCCTGGTGCCTGCATTCTGTTCCTTCCCGGAGGCGTTCAACACACTGAACTGAATCTGGCAATGATCATAACACCATTTATTGAGTGTTTGTTATATGCTGGACCCAGTACTGAGCACTTTACACATACTATTTCCATATAAGACAGCCCCTTGAGGTGGATTCTTTTCTTATCCTCATTTTGCAAATGAAGAAACACAATTAGAGAGGTTAAGAGATCCACCCAAGGTCACACAACCCGTAAGGAGCTGGGCTACAGCCCAAAGCCAGCATCTGCCTTTAGAACCCATGCCTCCACTGCTGCTTCTGTCCTGTGCTGCCTATGGGCCCACGAACGTGTGTGTGTGTGTGTGTGTGTGTGTGTCTGTGTGTGTCTCAGCCTGTGGTGTTTGCTGGCAGTGCTTTTCTCCTGCTCACCTGCTTGTTGTTGTTCTTTAGTCGCTAAGTCATGTCTGACTCTTTGCGACCCCATGGACTGCAGCACGCCAGGCTTCCCTGTCCTTCACCATCTCCCGGAGTTTGCTCTAACTCATACCCATTGAGTCGCTGATGCCATCCAACCATCTCGTCCTCTGTTGTCCCCTTCCCCTCCTACCCTCAATCTTTCCCAACATCAGGGTCTTTTCCAATGAGTCAGCTCTTCGAGTCAGGCGGCCAAAGTATTGGAGCCTTAGCCTCAGCATCAGACCTTCAAATGAATATTCAGAGTTTATTTCCTTTAGAATTGACTAGTTTGATCTCCTAGCATCTTTTAACTCCCCTGGGGTCCCTGTTAAAAGTGCCGATCTGTCACCTCTGCTCCAGACCCAGGAATCTGCACTTTTTAAAATTCCCCAGACCATTCTTTAACACATCACGGTTTGAGAACCACAGCCCTGAGGTATACTTGGGGAGAGAATGTGGGGTATGGGTTCCAAGAGATCTGAATTCAAGGCTTCTTTTAAAAATTAATTATTTATTTGTTTGTTTGCACTGGGTCTTAGTTGAGGCACATGGGTGGGATCTTCAATCATTGTGGTGGGATGCAGGTTTTCTTCAGTTGCATCATGGGGAATCTGGTTCCCTGACCAGAGACTCAACCCTGGCCCCCTGTATTGGGATCATAGAGTCTTAGCCATTTGACCACCAAGGAAGTCTCCTTAATTCAAGTCTTGGCTTCACTCCCCTGAGCTGGTTACATTCCCTTCCTGGGACATGATGTTATGCCCACTGGGGTGGGGAGTGGGGAGGATGACTGCTCTCTGTGATGGGCTGTGGAAGTCTCCTGTGGATGTGACACATTATGGGGCAGGCTCTCAGAGGACAGAAGTACCCTGATAAGGCCTCTCCCGAGACAGTGGATATGCATGGCCACGTGCCTTTGGCTCCCAGGAGGCCCTGAGTGCCATTCCCAACCCCACTGCCACCCCCATCCCTCCAGACATCGAGCCTCTGCTTTCTAGAAGGATTGGGAGGTGTTGGATGAAGGCCAGGTGCACAGATTTCTCAGTCTGGGAGGTGGGGACCCTGGACAGGTGGGTAGGACCCGCTCCACACACACCCTCTTCCTCCTCCACGGCCCCGCGATGGCCTCTGACCTCCCTTGATAGAGGAGGTGCTGTTCTCTAACTTCTGGAGGAGGAGAGTTTGGGGGGGGGGGCCGCCATGTGTACACTGGTGTTTTTTTAATTATTATTTTAATAAAATTTCTTTGGCCACACCCTGCGGTATGTGAAACGTTAGTTCCCAGACCAGGGATTGAACTTCCACCTCCTGCTTTGGAAGGCAGAGTCTTAACCACTGGGCCACTGGGAAAGCCCTTCATCGGGGTTTTAAGTTCACTGGGGAGCCATCCTTTCCCCTAGAGGGCTCCTCTGCTGGTCGGTGGGCAGGTCTGGGGAAACACTGACCTGCTGCTGACTGGCCAGGGCTGGGGCCAGGAGGGGGAGGGGTAAAGCAAGCGCCTGCCTGGGCCTTGGCCGAGTCCCTCTCCCAGCCTCCTAGCTCTGTTGGACACAGAGCCCTTGTTCCACTTGATCCTTTCTGATCTCCTGAAAACACTGAATTAGTAAACACGCATTTTATGGACAAGGTCATTGGACCCCAGGAAGCTGCAGTGACGGGTCCAAAGCTCTCATGTCTGTGTGTGGGGGCGGAGGTGGTAAGGTCAGAACTTGAACCCAGGCTCCTTGACGATAGCACAGGTGTTTTCTGCACTGTATCCCATGCCTCATTATTTTCTGCCCCACCTGTTTGGGGCTTTGATGCCAGAGTCTTTGACTGGGCCACCATGGGGCTGTGTGATCCTGGGCAGGGCTGGTCATCCCTTAAAACTTCAGTTTCCTTGTCTGTAATGGGTGGGTGGGGGTGTGTTTAGCCCAACCTTGATATTCACAGGTTACACTTTTTTCCTGCACTTCCGGGGACAGACTTGGGGGTTGTTCATGATGGGCGCAGGGCGTGGGTGAGTTGTTGGGTGGGGTTGGAGGGCAGAGTGTTGCACTGGGCTTGTTAGGAAACCAGTCAAAAGGGCTTTTGTGGGCTTAGTGTCCAGGGCCTGCAGGGAGCGGGGCTGCGAGTGGGGCAGCAGGAAGATGCCCAGGGATGGGTGAGGTGGCTGACTCTGAACAGTGCAGGAGGGTGATGGTGGGAATGACTGGGCGTTGTGGATGGGGGCTGAGGGGGAGCACGGGGCTCTGAGATTGATCCAGCAGCATCCCTTTCTCAGCCCAGGACAGCCTTGGCTGAGAGACCAAGAGAAGATCATAGTCTCTCTCTTTTTTTGGCTGTGACACAAGGTATATGGGATCTTAGTTCCCCAACCATGGATCGAACCCATGCCCCCTGCGTTGGAAACGCAGAGTCTTAACCACTGGGCCACTAGGGAAGTCCCTGAGAACATCACAGTCTCTTATCCTCCACTTGAGCCACTACCGTCTCTCCATGGGGCATCCCCAGCCTTCCCTTGAGTCCAGCCCCTATCAGCTGGGGTCTGTGTTGGGACTGAGGGGTTTCCAATCGCCTGCTTTCCATGCCCAGGGCTGGCCCCCCCGCTTTCTGGCTTCCTAAAGCAGGCCCTTGTCAACTGCAGCCTCTGCCAGCCTCCTGCTCTCAGCTTCTCCTCCATCGTGCACCTCCTTCCCTTCCTGGGGGCGGATCCCTGTCCCCCACCCAAGCCCGTAACTCCCTGGCCTGGCCATCAAGGCTCCAAGCCCACCCCAGCTTCCCTCCCTGCCCCTTCTCCCTCCGTTCTTTAAG